ATTGGTTGGGGTGGGGGGAGATTGGGGGGGGGGGGTATGGAAGAATTGCATGCTGCTTACTACTCCATCATCATAAAGTGCTGAGCTCCACATGGTAGCAAACAGAATGGGCGTGCATAAGATGGAGTGTTAATTAATCTTCATGGACCCGTGTCGCTGTGAAGCTGTCGGTGCGCAGCACCCATGCATGTCAGTGCAAGTTCCTGCGCATCTCTGCAGTCAGAGCTGCCGTCGAGACTCTAAGGGGGAGTATTCCCTTCTCCACAGCGCTCTGCTCTATCCTGCGAAATCGCAATAGAAACTGCTGCACCTTCGCTTTTCGCCCCATCGCCACCTCAGTCGCATTAACGACAGAACTGGGTGAAGCCGGCCATGGAAATAAAGGGTGGGGTGACATTTCAGTCTTCCCATTTTCTGCATTTCAGAAGTGAAATTCGAATGCAACATGAACAATTTGACAATTACGGCATGTGTCTAAGAGCACACATTAAAGTGTGCTGAACGGCAAATCAATTTGCAGCTCAGAGATAGCGACGGCTCATTAACAGGGGCAATTAGCAAATTAGGACCGGTCCAGCCTCCCTCATTAAAAAAAAGACTCCAGTAAGCACAGACTGAATTGGCCTGAATTTTAAGCTCAGCCACGGCACATTTTGGCTCCTTTCTCCCCCCGTCTCCTACTTTCTGTTCTCTTCCACTCCCTCTCCCTTAATATTTTTGTTTCTCTCTCTCATTTTTCCTCATGCAATGCTCCCCTTGCGTGGCAATCCGTGAACAATTTAGTCAAGGTTACCCCCAGATAAATCTCTCCTGCACAGTGTGTCTTTGCACCCCCCCCCCACCCGGATTGTCTCAGTCCATGTGTCCTGATTCAGTTTTTAATTTTAATCTGGGCAAGGTGGAACAGGGAGATGCTTAGTCTCATGCTGGGGGTGGCATAGTAGTTAGCACTATTTCCTCACACCGCTGTGACTGGGGTTCAAGCCTCCGCCCTCGGCTTTGCATGTGTGGTGTTTGTGTGTTTTTCCTCTGTTCTCTAGGTACTCTGCCCCCCCCCCCCAGTCTAA